GCATACCTCTCTCCCTCTTAATATAAAAAAAATCAGGTCTTTATATATAATTTTAACTTTTTTTACCCTCCTCCCCTCTAAAAAATCACCTGATTTTTGTCACGTCCCTAAAAAGTTAAATGAAACTATCCTTCTCGCATTTCATGTGATTGTACTGATATAATTTTGAAGTCTGATACTCAGTTTATATAATGACTTAGAACTTTAAAGTAGGTAACTATCCTTTTATTAATTTATTTCTAGCTCTTTATCCTTAAGGTAAATCTACAATAATGCTATTTTTTATTGTATAATTTATAACCTGTGCTATGCTGTCTATAATATGTTATAGATTTTTTATTTTTATTTTGAACAGAAATTTTATATATATTTTTGCATTAGTTGTTCTGTTTTAAATTTAATGCATCGACTTTGGCCTCTTTGGAACAAAGTTAGTGTATTAAATTTAAAGCCTTTATTTTTTATAAGAATCGCTATAGATTACTATTATAAATTAGTGAAGCAACCAAAATTCAGCAGTTCAACAAAAATTTTAAGTTAGAATAGGTATAAAGAAAAGTTAGCATTAAGCAATAATACCAGCCAACTACATTACTTTGCTTAGTACATAAGCTTCTATTTTATTAGCAAAATTTGGGAGAAATTTATCAATTCTGGCCTATTCCAACTCTAAATTTTGGTTGATCTGCTGAATTTTGGTTTTGCTCCACTACCATAATCTATCTATAGTACAGTATCACCTGCCAAATAAAATTGTCAATAAATATTATATATTTAAGAATTATATTTTCTAATCTGAATCTAAATTCAATCCAATAGATATAATATATATTTTCAGAATATAGCAATGCTGCTATACTGATAAAATGACAAACAAAATTACAAAATATGTATTAGTCAGGAGGCTGAGAGGCTGAGTTCAAAATCTTTTTGCTATAGTTCCTTTACTATGTTCTTTGATGATCAATAATAATCAATTTATCATACTAGCAAAATAGCAGAAGAAAAAAAAAGTAAAATATTAAAAAAAAAACAACTCACAAATAGAAGTATAATATTAGATCAGTATTGATATATTAGTATTAAAAGAATACTTTTTTAATTAGGGTTTGGGTTGTTTTAAATAATCCAAAAATTTTTTTTCTTAATGCAATAAACATATACATTTACAGTACATGTATATATACATATATATTATTATAATTAGAGAAAGCTTTTATAGATCCAGACTAATTTAGTCTAGTATCATAAGCATAAATCCTGATATAAGTTGCACAGTCCAGATCTCTATATAGTAATAGTTATCAAATAAGTAAGTATCATAGAAAATAGATAGTACTATGCTTAGATTATATTGGTACTTCAATTAAACTATATTTATAAGAAGTCATTACAGATTTTATATAGATTCAAGTTGGTTGCCACATATTATGATTAGGTTCAAGTCAGATTGTTATAAGCTGCAGTTAGGTTACTTAGAGTTCAAGTCAGGTCATTATGGGTTACTATTATATTATAGATACTAGCAGCTATACTTATTATTAGAGACAAGCAAGAGAGTTAGATTATATATCTACTATACTTATTACTTGAACAGAGTAAGAAAGAGTTGGACAAAGTTATTTTATTTATTAGACAATTGCTCTATTTATACATTTTGATATTCAAGGGTTTTAAACCCAGATTTGAGGCTTTGAACCCAGATCTGGAGTTTCAAACCTAGATCTGAGGTTTTGAATCCAGATTCTAGATTTCAAACTCTAACCCTGAGTTTTGAACCTGTATATATGCTATTACTATTATAACTACATTATTTACTACTTTTATATAGGAAGATAAAGAAACTATGTAGCAAAAATTCAAAGTGAAAAATCTTCTCTCAAAGAGTGAGTTTTGTCGAACTCATCAACAACTTTTATGTTTTCTTCTCTCTCTGCCTCCTTGCTTTCGTTAACAATTCCAGAAAGTCAAAATCTAACATTTGTCAAGCACTAAGATAGTAATTCATTAAACTAGGATCATGTACTATTTTTTTATTTTTATTTTTTTCTATATAATAATTTGTTTATTTTGTTTATTTATATAATTTTTCTATTACTTATTTAGACTTTTCTCTTAGATCAAATATACTTCGTATTGGATTCAAGAATATTAGAGTATAACAGTTGATTATCTTGGTGAGTTAGAGCCTATATAAATACTGGTAAAATTTTTTCACAGCCCAAGTGATAGGAACATATTTCACTTTATTCATAAAATAGTTCTTCTTAATTATATTAGTTTCTTTTTAGTCATCATGATCTCGACCTTCTTCAGCTTTTTATATTCATTCAAGCATCCTTTTTTCCTTCTTATTTGAGTTTTTATCTTTTTGGTAATACTATCTGAGATTATATTGTTCTTCTGTATTGCTATTATTAAACTGATTTGTATATAATTCATTTTTATTAGATGGTTTATATTTATCTTTAATGTTTTAATTGTTGAACATTTTACTTATACATTCGATCTTTCTGGCCAGTTGATTACTAGACAAAAGTAAGTTTTCTTCTTCTTTTTTGCTTGTTTGTGAAGATTTATTATTGCTGTATTAACTATTTCATTTGGTTTATTATTTTTATTTTTTCTATCTTTATTTACTTTGCACTCTTCTACAATGCTACTTTGTTTACTACTCTTAATACTATTGTCCATGTCACCTTCAATTTCTTGAACTATTTTTTCAAACTGTTTTTCTGATCTTATATCACTATTATCGAATCTATCTGTCATTATTAATTTTTCTGTCTCATTATATCTTACACTTTCTTTAACCACTTTATATTTGTTCTTTTCTATCTCAATTTTATTTTTATCACAAAATTCAAGACCAATATTTTTACCAGATTTCATATTACCAGTTTTATCTTGAATACAATTCTTAAAGCCATATGATTGTTAGAGCTTTGGGCTTTAACAAGTTCAAATCATTATTTTCATCAGAATTCAAATAACACTTTGACAAGTTTCGATTATATATAGCTGATGTTTGAACTTCACTCTTCACAAGACTAATATTATTAGCTCTATCTGCATTGACTGGTCTTGAATAATGCTTAATATTTCTCTTTCATCATTACTGGCAGCTTTAACATCATTAATAACTTTGCTAGCATAATTGTAAATTTTATATTCAACTTTTTGATTTGCTATATTAATATTTACCCAGCTTCTATCTTTACTATAATAGCTATACTTATATATTTTATTGTCCTTAAC